CAAAAGCCTTTTGTTATTTAGACTTTTTTTTTTTTTGTAGAGACAGAGTCTCACTTTATCGCCCTCATTATTTTGACTCTTTATAAACCACTTTAATACAAGGACTAAAGGAAAAGTTCAAAGGACGAACACAATGAGGACTCTTATAAAGACAGAAAGAAATTGAGGGCCAAATGTTCCCTTCGTAGTGATCCATCGTGAAGTCTCTGATTTGTTTCTTGGGACATCTCTTCCTTTGGAGTCCAGATAGGATGACAAATGCATGGCATCTTGTGGTTATAATTCAACGCAATAATATCATGAAGCTGAGAGGGCTGGGCCAGTTTTAAGTGAATTCCAATTCTCACAGCACACATATACAAAGCTGCTGAAATCCAGGACAATTTCCCACAAAAGGGCCAGGAGGGTAATCCAAGCAAGGGAGCTCCAGGACTGACGCACACCTCTGTCTTTGCTACCGTGTTACCTAAAATAAAAACAAAAATAAGTGAGCATTCCACATCCCACAAAAATAGCCATTTCTACAATCAGGATAAATAAGACCCTATGTGTATAAAGTTTATCAGTTTGTACCTTTACCTGTAAGTAACCACATTAAATCAACTGTTCAAATTCTTCTACCTTCCTTGCTTCTATATCACAAGGAAAACTTACAAAAAGGCCTCCATGACAAGGTAGTAGGCACCTTAACTTTGTATTTCATAAGGTTATAAATATCCCATCTGATTAGGTTCGCTCATCACCCGTCAACTCGTGCATGCTGAACATGTTTTGTTAATGGTGCGAAATTTTTTTAAATGAATGCTGATTGAAATCAGTGTGTGTCAAGATGTTGTCTTTGTTCCCTTTTTAAAAAAGTGATAGTTAACTGTATTAAAATAGGTCATTTTATGAAATGGTTATATTTACTGGAAAATATATATCCATAAGGAGGTGTTTTTCATCTTTAAATAACCAGGCTCATTGCCTATAATCTAAGAAAACAGAATAGTAGTTTCTATTGCTTGGTCAAGTAAGATATTTTATAGGTTAATCAATCAATACACCAGCTCTAGGAGAAAAGAAAAACCTAAGACTTTCCATCACAACACAAAAATATTTTCAAGGTAAACTGATAGTATTCATCATGCCTGGTCTTTAGACCCAATCAGATACTTATTCAAACCTCAGGCTTGTTATGACCTTTTAATTCATGTAGTTGCTCCTTTTTTTGTGCCTGGTAGACTGAAGCAAGCGAAACAAACACCCTGCCCTCATGAAGCTCGTGTTCTAGAGTGGCAGTCCCCAAACTTTTTGGCACCAGGGACAGGTTTCGTGGAAGACAGTTCTTGGACAGAGGTGGGGGATTCAATTCTCATGAGGAGTATGCACCTAGATGGCTCATGTGTGGAGTTGATAGTAGGGTTCCCATGCCTGTGAGAATCCAGTCTGCTGCTGATGTGATGGGAGGCGGAGCTCAGGTGGTGCTGCCAGGGATGGGAAACAGCTATAAATCTGCTCACCTGCTGCAGCTCACCTCCTGTTTTGCAGCCTGGACCAGTGCCACTCAGAGGCCTGCAGCTGAGGACTGCAGTTCTAAAGCAAGGACTAGAAAACCTTTTCTGTGAAGGACTGAATGTGGTAACTCTGTTCAGCTTTGCAGGCCATACAGCCACTGCAGCTGCCACTCAGCTCTGCCTTTATTTTATTCACAAACGCAGTGGCAGACAGTAGATGAACCAACGGCTGTAGCTTTGTTCCATTCCCATAAAACATCACTTATAGACACTGAAATTTGAATTTTATATATCTTTCATGTGTTAAGAAATATTCTTTTGGTTTTCTATGGCCATTTAAAAGTGTAAAACCCATTCACAGGCCACACATACAATAACAGTCCAACACCTGGATTAGGCCAATGCCTGGATTAGGCCAATGCCTGGATTTGGCCAATGCCTGGATTTGGCCAATAGCCATGGTTTGCTGACTTCTACAAAGGGAAAGAGTTTGGACAAACAGGTAAATAAAAATATGTCTGAAGGTAATATAGACTATGGAGAACAGTATAATGGAGGGGGAAGCACCACTAGTCTACAGAGGATTGTAGAGAAGGAGACATGTGAGGAGACATTTGGAAAGGTGAGAGAGGGGTATCTGGGAAAGAACTTTCTACTTCCCAGGTAGAAAAAGAGAGAAGCATAAGCCAGCATCAGGCCACCACAAGGACTCTAAGGTACAAGGACAAGAGGATGAATGCATGGCCAGGCTGTCAACTGAAAGGGATCACTTTGGCTGGAGTGAGGAAAGGTGAAGCCAGCAGGACTTGTGACAAAGAGGAATCAAGGACAACTCCAAGGCCTCTGGCTTGAACAACTGAATGGTGTAGCTGGCCACGTTCTGTGATGGGGAAGACTGTCTCTCTCTGCCTTTGTTTATTCATCTGCAGACTAGAGATGATGGTAACTGCCCCCCCCCTTTAGTTTTACTGAAGAGAGAATAAAATATGTGAATCAAATGGCAATGGCCCAGTGGCTGTCACACGGGTAACTTAGGAAATGATTATTGTCACATTAGCTCTTTCTGGGCCTAATATGCATCTATATGTAACCTGAAAGTGTTATTTGTGCAAATTCATTCCCCATGCCCAGCTCATTTTAGACAACATTCAAAGTTGGATGATAAGATACTCTCAGATTTATTTTCCTTTAAAATTATTGTACTGATTTCATATGGAAGACTCATTGTTGTGTTTGAATTCTGATGGAGGCAAAGCTACTGAAATACCAATAGTGGCTCCACTCCCAGGCCTCAGGGTCCCATGGAGCATTTTAAGCCCTGACTATAGGGATCAGGAAGGAAAGGACCTCAGAGTGTGGAGTCCTTTGAACTTGACCTTGAAAAACAAATGGAACTTTTTTTTTTTTTTGAGATAAAGTCTAACTTTCTTGTTCCCAGTAGAGTGCCCTTGTGTCAGGGCACAAGTGTCAAGCCCTGTGTCAAGTCCTTTGAGCTTGACCTTGAAAGACAAGTGGAACTTTTTTTTTTTTTGTAGATAAAGTCTAACTTCTTGCTCCCAGTAGAGTGCCCTTGTGCCCTTTCTCACAGCAACCTCAAACTCTTGGGCTCAAGCGATCCTCTTGCTTCAGCTTCCTGAGTAGCTAGGACTACAGCACCCACCACAATGCCCAGCTGTTTTTAGAAATTGGGGTCTCTTGCTCAGGCTGGTCTTGAACTCTTGAACTCAGGCAATCTACCTGCCTCAGTCTCCCAGAGTCCTAGGGTTATAGACAAGTGGAATTCTAAAAGAGGATGTAGGGAAAGAAGATGGCAATGGTGTGGAAAAGTACACGGCCTATGTGGTGACTGCCAGTGAAGGCCCATTCAGAATGCTTACTGTATTTTGTATCAGTTTCCAACAGCGAAGTTTCCCCAGGTGGCAGAGAAAGCAGAGTATAAGCCAATTAAAGGTGAGAATAGATAGGAAGCTTGGTTAGACTAGCAGTTCCCTCATACTGTCTGTTTATCACAATCACCCCAAGATCAACTTTTTTAAAGTGTGGTTTTCTAAGTCCCAGCCTAGACTTACGATACCAGAATATCCTAGAGATAGGGTTAAAAGCCTGTGTTTTTAATCAAGTTCCCAAGATAATATTTCTATATTCACAAGACCATTAAACCGTAATGACATTGATGATGACCCATGGTTGTAACCCAAGAGACAGAGAGAAGGTTCTCAATTAGAGAACCGTTTGAGGATAAGACCAGACTTGGTCAAGTCAGATGTTAATGGGAGGCAAGTGCTGAAGAGCAAGTTGCTTCAATTCTTAACTCTTACCTCCAGATTTCCAATGTGAAATATTGTCAATATTTCAACACAGCAGAAACTGAAGAAAATGAAGTAAAAAACCAAGAAGGAAGCCTGAAAAGAACTACTGAAAAATATACAGTTTCCAAAGCAGCTTTTTAACCTTAGTTGTCATTGCCACTTGTTGAGTCAGGACTGGCCTGGTCTCAGGCCCCCTCCCATGCTATGCTGTTATCTTGTTCAGGAACAATTGCTCTTAGATGCCTGAGGGCTATTTACTTTAGCAGGAGAGACAGAGAGTGTGTGTCTTTGAGGGAGTAAAGCAGTCTTAGAAGAATAGAGCTCTACACCTGATAGATCCAACTTCTACTTGCAATCTGAGCATAAATGTCTTAATCCTGTAATTAGGTAAAAGTGGTGAAGGCTATGTTTTTTAGTAGGATGTAAGCATTCCAATTTTTACAAATAATCAACATATTGAATCCTATAATGGCATAAATGTATTTATGATCTATGTACAAATGATCTAATTTTTAAAAAAGAAGAAGAAGAATAGAGCTTAGCAATTTATAGCCGAAAGACACTGTGCTGAAGTTCTGCAGATAGGAGAAGCACCAAAGCCAGAGTGAGCGGTCTGTAACAGAATGTGCGCTCCGGACTGCCTGCTCCTCCAGCCTAATATAGAGCTGATCTCGTGACTCTTTACACCACAGATGTAGAGACTGCCAATTCACTAATGCTCTTGTCTCGAATTCTCATGCTTGTTAGGAGAGCTAAGTCCCTTTCTGTGCCCTTTTCACCAAGGTGTTCCATATGGAGCTATACCGGTGTTACTTATAAATCTCACTCCTCCTAGCCATAGGCTATACAAGCTGCTACACTTAGTAGTGTTGACATTTGGGCCAAATAATTTCTTATTGTAGGAGACTGTCCTGTACTTTGTGGGATGTGTGGCAGTATCCCTGGCATTCACCCCCAAGATGCCAGTAACCTCTCCAATGTATGAGAATAAGAAAGGTCCTCAGACATTGCCAAATGTCCACTTGAGGGAGAAACTACCTCTGGTTGAGAATATCATTCTTAAGACATAGTTTTTCAACTTTAGAGGAAGTTTTAAAATAAGAACAATTAAAAAACTAACATTCCTGGAAGTTCAATATGTTTTGCTTCTATTCATAAACAACAAAAGAGCTCTGGCAAACTCTTGGCTTTGGAGCTAAGAAGACACCGTAGAAGTGTCAGTATTAGAAGTCTTCACACTGACAACTCCAAAGACAGAAGAACTATTTAGAATAGCAAATGCAGCAAAAACCTAGAATGAAGAAAAGGAAGTCTGAGGCAGGATGACAGAGCGTTACATTTTCCCCCAAGGAGTAGTAGCTGCATCCTCTCCAGGGACACTGAAAAATATGTAGGCAGAATTTTATACCTGGGAAAGATTACCAGTTAGGGAATTGTCCCCTCTCTTATTTTCATTTCTTCCTCTAAGGCCATTAATATGTCCAATTGACTAACTCTTTTGAGATTTGCATTTAAATGGAAAATAAAAGTCTGACTGCAGACTTTAGGTGGCTGACTGCAGACCATCCTACCCTCCCGGCCATTCTGTGTGTTGATGTTGCTGCATGAACCCTTGTAGGAAAACAGAAACTATTTGGTTATATAGTTAACACCCTCTCTAGAGAGGCAACTGATGGGCCTTTATTGGATGGCTGTCTCACCTGTGGTGTGAGGGAAGTGCCAATTTTAAGAAAAAGATATAGCTTCTAGGGGCACCACGTTAGACGTGGAAGCCTGTCACAGCTCTACAAATGAATTTACTCTATGTGCCTAAGATCCGGGAAAAGGCATAAAATGTTTTATGCAGTTCAAGTCACACAGGCTTGGATTAATAAAGGAAATAAGGTTTTATGACTCCAAGATTATTCTCAAGTGACATATCACTAAAGAAATGGCAGCCCACGTATCATGATGGCTTGGGGAACTGTAATATCCTTCTACAACTTTTTGAAGCGCTAAACGAAATGTCACGACCACTGAGGATTTAGCTAGAGCAAACTTATATTCCCACCACACAGAGCTGAAATGCCCCTAAAGGTTCACTTTCCGCAAATGCCTTCTCTAACTGCACGTAAATAGACAGCACTCTACCAAGAGACCTACTTAGACGCAGGCATTTCCAGAATGCAGTTGGCTTCTGCTCAGTCTGGTTTTATACCCATATATAAAAATCAATACAAATATAATCTTCCAAAATGTTATTCCTTAGTCTTCAAGAAATACGATGAAAGAAATGTTTATCACTGATGGATATAAGACTCTGACTCACAGGTGACTCTAAGATTTGAGGGTGCAGGAATGGCTGAAAGGGGCCATGGAAGGATAGTAGAATTACCTTAAGGCAGGGGTTGCTAAGCAAGCACACTTTTTTTGCTTAGTAAAATACTTGCCATGGTATTTTGATACACTGCCCTGTTGACTCTGAAACGCAACTTTGAAACTTTTTCGTCAAATCAAGTTCATGAAGAAACTGAAATGAATTTAAGAGCCCTGCCTAAAATGATGAGTTCACCCAACAAATCACTGCTTTATAAAATCTGACACACAGGGCAATGGTAGGAAATGGGCTTTTCAAAAACACCAAAGTTATAGGGTGGCACTGCCCGTGCAAGTTTGTCAACATAAAATAATGTTCTCTTAATGGCAACATGAAATTTAGGGGGGATGCCCCAAGGCTAAGAAGTTGTAAATGACAGTCAAGCTGTGTCTATACTTGCCTTTGTAGTTTTGACTTTATTACCACTGCTGCAGGACCAACCTGAGTAATCTGGCAGTACTTTACAATCCTCTCCTTCCAAACAAGGATTCATGTGACACCACCACTTCTGAATCACGATGGAAGCTGGAAAACAAAAGCCAAATAATTTTTCTGTCATTGTTTCTTCCCCCAAATATGAAAAAAATAAAACTCAATGCAGATTAACACGTTGATTTCAAAGACTGCAAAAAGAACTATTTCACCAGAAGCAAATATAACAAATCCAATCAGCCACATACTCTACAAAATAAAGGATTTCATTTTGGCAGTTGGCTATCCAGTTGTAATAGAGCTCGGGCTTTGAGGTGGGCCTATCTGGATTTCAATCAGCTGTGCTACTTTCTAGATTTGTTAATAACTTTGGACTTGTTTACTGACCCTCTCAGAGCCTCAGTTTCTTCACTTGGAAAATAGAGATAAAAATAGATCCTTCTCCCAGGCTATCAAGAGGATAAAGCTCGTCCACGTGAAAGTCTTTGCTGACTTTGAACCAGGCACAGTGTTCTCACAACATTAGTTGTTAGTTATTACTGTGATCATCAACTCGGGCTACAGGTTACCATGGCGGATGTTGGCACTGCCGTTTTCTTACATGTGGTGGGTGCTCTTTTCCATCACACATGGTACTCATCTCTCCCAGCCATTCCAGCGAGTAGTGTGCAACCCCTTGAAGTTAATTGTAAGAAGTCAACTGAAGGTGGGAGGGTCTGGCATCCCTTATGTTCTGACATGTGAATATTCTAGACTGGTTAGCTTCCCTGTAAATTCACTTTTCTCCTTTCCTCACCATCCCTACAACAGTCTGCCAATAAAATGATTTGTGTTTTAAGCTCATGAAGTAGAAAATAGTACCCCAATTCTCTGGGTTTAGACACCTAGCAGGAGTGGAAGAAAGTCCATCATCTTGGCTGGTTATTCCATGAATTCACAGGCCAAACAGGATTGTGATTGATTTTTAAATATAAAGACAGCCAGTGGGCTGGTACAACACAGAGCTCCAGGGTTGAGGGGTCATGGTGGGGAGAAAGCAGGTTAGCTCCATATATTTTTGTTGAAACAGCAACACTTATATAGAAACCATCTTGCAGTGCATAATTTGTTTTTCTTTTGAATAACATAGAATTTTCTTATTTCTCATAATAATATAAATAAGAATTTATTATTTATGGCCCATGGATTTCTTTTTAATTTTAAAATATTTACTTGATAAAGATTGCATATAATAAAGCTTGCATATAAAGTCTACATATAGTAACAAGATGATTTAATATACATTGTGTAAGGATTACCACGACCAATTAATACATCCATCACCATTTGTGCTATACATCAGATTCCCCAAAACTTGTTCCCCTTATAGATCAAAGTTTATGCCGTTGGACCAGCATCTCCCCATTTCTCTCAAGTTCTGGCAGTCCCCATCCTGCTCTCTGCTTCCAGGAATTTGGCTTGTTTAGATTCCATACATGAGTGAGAACTGTCTTTCTGTTCCCGGTTTATTTCACTTAGCATAAGCTCCTCCAGGTTCATCTAAGTTGTCACAAATGGAAAGGTTTCCTTCTTTTTTTAAAGGCTGAATAGTATTCCACTGATACATGTATACATCACATCTTCTTTATCCGTGCATCTGTCATTTGACACTTAGGTTGTTTCCAAACCTTGGCTATTTTGAATAATGCTGCAGTGAATATGGGAATGCAAAGATCTCTAGAAGATGCTGATTTCATATCCTCTGGTTATGTATCCAGAAGTGGGATTACGGATTGTACGGTACTTGCCTTTTGTTAGTTTTTTGAGGCACCTCCATACTGCTCTCCATGACAGCTGTACTAAGTTACATTCCCACCAATGTACCAAAATCCCTTTATTTTTATCACCCTGGCCAACATTTGTTATTTTTTTCTATTTTAGATCATAGGCAACTAACAAGTATGAAGGGATATCTCACTGTTGTTTGACCTGCACTTGCCTGACGATTAATGATGTTGACCACATTTTCATATAACTGTTGGTCATCTGTATGTCTTCCCTAGAAAAATATCTATTCAGGTTCTTTGTCTAATTACTAATCAGATTTTTTTTTGCAATTGAGTTATGTGAGTTCCTTTTGCATTTTGGGGATTTTATAAGGATATTAACTTCTAAATTAGATATATGGTTTGCAAATATTTTCTCCCATTCTGTAGGTTGCATTTTCACTTTGCTCATTGCTGTTTTGTTTTTTAGTTTGATGTAGTCTCAATTATTTAATTGATATAGTCTCAATTATTTATTTTTGCTTTTGCAACCTGTGCTTTTGGTGTCACATCCAAAAAAAGTCAGTGCAAGGAATAAATGTCAAGGATCTATTATCCCCTAAGTTTTCTTCTAGAATTTTTATAATTTCAAGTCTTACATTTACATCTTTAACCCATTTCAGGTTAATTTTTGTATATAGCATAAGACAAAGGTCAAACTTCATCTTTTTGCATGTGAATATCCAGTTTTCCCAGCACTGTTTACTGAAGGGACTATTCTTTCCGGAGGGTATTCTTGGCACCCTTATCAAAGATTAGTTAATCATACAAGTGTAGGATTATTTCTGGGTTCTCTATTCTGGTCCATCATGTGTCCATTTTTATACCAGTGCCACATGTTTTGACTACATGTATAGCTTCGTGATATAATTTGAATCAGGGCAGGATGCTATAATTTTTTTTTTAAGGGACAAGAAAAGATTTTAATTAGGGGAGGAAGGATCCCCCAGAATCAGAAAAGGAACAGGGAGCGTGGGAGCAGAGGAGCCAGAGCAGGCAGGAGGCGGGCCTGGCCAGGAGGCTCTGGAGGAGGGCTGACCTCTCCACCTGTAGCACAGGCGCCACACTGACAGACAAGGCCTAACAGTGGCCCCTCTCAGCCGGGAGGGCAGTAAATGGCCACTGTAACCAGAGGTTGCCTGGCTTTTGAGCTCCCATCCCTAGCCATGACTGAAGGTCATCAATTCAACCTTTGTCCCCAACCCGTGCGAGGTGGCCATCTTCAGGCAAAACTCAGGAAGCTGGCAGAGGGTCCCCACAGTTAGACTGGGCCCAAGGAAGCTTGGGAATAAAAGGATAAAGGAGAGGAGCTGGAGTCCGAACCCGCCCCCCTATCTAGGGTGGCCTTCTGGCTCCAGGCCTGCCCAGACCCACAGTGACCAATAAGGTACAATCACTGGGACCAGTCAGAGCCACTGGAGGTGGAGGTTGTTTAAAAAAGAAAAAAAGGTTAAAGTCTCCTACAAGCACAGAGTTAAGTTTCAAGACATTAAAAAATATCTGTCCCTGCCCAGGGGACGGAACATCAGAAGCCAGCACCAGCCTGACCAGGCATGTGTGGCCTTGGGGCAGGTGCACTGCTGATTTCTCGCACAGCTAGCAAGCACACCGCCCTTCCCCCCACCCCCACATCCAACGCCCACCCAACCCAGCTTCTGCCCCCACTGCTGCCGCTGCTGCTCAAGGGAGTGACTCCAGGACGCCTTCACAGACACAGGGGAGTGGGGGGTGGGGGGGAGGCCACAAGGTCCAGCCAGATGGTTTAAAAGTTCTTTTTTTTTTTTTTTTTT